ATAAACACCAGTGGAACAAAATAAAGAGCCCAGAAATAAATCTATGTATTTATAGGCAAATGATTTTTGATAAAGGCACCAAGAACAGACATTGGGGAGTGGACATGCTCTTCAATATATGGTGCTAAGAAAACTGGATATTCATACCGAGAAGACTGAAACTGGACCGCTATTTCTCCCAAAATACAAAAATTAACTCAAGATGGATCAAACTTAAATGTAAGACCGGAAACTATAAAATTCCTAAAAGAAAATGCAGGAAAAACACTTCAGGGCATTGGTCTAGGTGAATATTTTATGGCTAAGACCTCAATGGCACAAGCAATAAAACCACAAATAGGCAAGTGCTAGTAAACTAAAAAGCTCCTGCACAGCAGAGGAAGCAATGAACAGAGTGAAGACACATGTCGAATGCTAGAAAATACTGCAAGCAATTCATCTGATAAGGAACTAACATCCAGAAGATGCAAGGAACTAAAACAACGCAACAGTAAAAACATAACAATAATCCCATTAGAAAGTAGGCAAAGGACATGAATAGGTATTTCTCAAAAGAAGACACACAAATGGCCAGACTGTGTGAAGAACTTCTCAGCATCACTCATTACCTGGGAACTGCAAATCAAAACCGCAGTGGGATGCCATTTTACCCCAGTTAGAATGGCTATTACTAAAAAGACAAGGAATAACAGACGCTGGCATGGACGTGGAGAAAATGGAATGCTTATACAGTCGGTGAGAATGTAAAGTAGTACCGCCACTATGGAAAACAATACAGAGATTTCACAAACAAACCCACTAAAAGCAAACTACCATATGATCCAGCAATCCCACTATTGGGTATTTATTCAAAGGAAATGAAATTATTATATCAAAGGGACATTTGCACAACCATGTTTATTGAAGCATTATTCACAATAGTAAAGATATGGAGTCAACGTTAAGTGTCCCTTAACAGATGAATGGACAAAAAAGATGTCGTGCATGTACAGAATGGAATAGTATTTGGCCATAAAAAGGAATCGTATCCTGTCATTTGCAGCAACATGGATGGAACTGGAGATCATTATGTTAAGTGACATAAGTCAGGCATAAACGAATAGCGCATGTTCTCACTTACATGTGGGAGCTAAAAAATGCTGACATGGAGGTGGAGTAGAATGGTAGTTACCAGAGGCTGGGAAGGTTGTGTGTGTGTTGGGGGAGAAATAAAGTGAGGCTGGTACAAACATGCACTTAGAAGGTAATGTTTGACAGCAGAGCAGGGTGACTATAGTTAGCAACAATGTGTTGTATAGTTCAAAATAGCTAGAAAGGAAAACTTGAAATGTTAACAACACATAGAAATGAAAAATACTCAAATTGATTTATGCCCCAAATATTCTAGCTTGATCATTATGTATTCCATGCTTGTAACAAAATATCACATGTACCCCAAAATATGTAAAATATTATGTATCCATTTTCTAAAAAAGAGGAGAATGAGGGTACAACTGTCTTCAGATCCGGCCTCTGCCTAATCACCTCTATAAATAAGAAACGTTAAGGTTTCTAAACAGCTTTGGTTGCTAGAAAGTTCTATATGGCACCCCAAACCCCACTTCTATTTAAAATTAATTTTGCCAGAGCAAAAATCTCACTGTTAAGTCTTATACATTTTGTATTGAGAGAGAGATGACACACTTGATCTTTACTAAGTAAAAAATTAGAGTTTCTGTACCAGTGAATTTTCAGGGGCCAAATACGCCAATAAGGGCAATTCAGTTTGAAATTAATAGTTTCCTTCAACCGAGGCCTCAGTAAATGAAAATTGTTTAACCAAGACTTTCACGATCACAAAACGGATTCTTACTGGTAACAATTGTATTTTTATGACACTGGATTGTGTAAAGTATGCCTCTTATGGTCTTTAATAATAGCATGATTTAATTATATAAAACTCATAGAGGAGCTAATCAATGAACTGAGTCAAATTCATAGAACTCAGGGGGAGGTTCTTCTCAGAATTCCAGAAATGCCTGCTTCTCTGTAACAGCCATTTCACGGGCTTTTCTCTCAAACCCAACCCCCTTCCCCCTCATTTGTGTCAGGCCTTTAGGCTGTAGATATCCTGACCAGCTGTGCTCTTCTGCAGAAGAAAGCTAAATGTGTAAAATATTCAACAAGTTAGCTTTTCGATTCAGCAAGCCTCGCCTTCTTCCAGACTGTCGTGGATTTGCAGGGGCTTACAGTGTAATGACAGTTCATGGAGTGGATGTTGCTAGGCTGAGAGGAAGCCAGCTGTCTGGGTATAAGCCCTGTGTTCCTTCTCATTAGCCAGGGGGATTTGTGTTATTTGTCCAAGTGCTCGGAGCTGGTTTTCTGTTTCCTTTGCAGGGTCTCTGACTGAGCCGTGCTTGGATCCTGGCTTTGCTTGGCATCCTCGGTTTGATGGTTTCTGACTCTCATCAGTTTGTTCTTGCGGGGTGTTTATTTTGACAGCACCGCCCCCCCCCCGGAGCCACACCATGCCATCTTGCATTTGCAATTGTCTAAGCCTTCCAGCTCAGGAGGCCAGGCCCGGCAGGCCTATATACATTTTTAACATTCTTAATATTTGCGTGAAAAGCAGCTCTCAAATTTAGTTTGTCCTGGGTGGAGCGGTCCTTAGTAGGCTCCAGGGGTTTTTCTATTCGTCCTGTTTGTGGCTGGTGGGTTTAGCGGTCACTGGGAGAGGGGCGTGGGTGGGGTGCAGCCCTCCTGCCTGGGCGACTGTAGTTAGGTTAGTGTCCTCAGGCTCGTCACACTCTGCTGACGGGTTCCCGCCAGCCCCAGCCCCTGGGCCAAGGTCCCCGAGGTCTAACCCTCCGTTCTCCAGGATCGTGGCCCGCGTCTCCTTAGACAACTCAGAGCCCTTTTCGTCTTAGAAGCGTCGCTGCTCATCCGGCACGTCTGGGAAACGCAAAAGCTGCATTTCATGGTTTAAGAATCGCCGAGTGACGAGGCTTGGCGTTTTCTCGGGGTTCGCAGTTCTGGATCCTCCTTGAAGACGACACACGGATACATATTCGGTGTGAGAACGAAGCGCTACGAAGCGCCACGCGGGGAAAGTTAGCTCGCCGCGACGCCAGGAAGATCCCCGTTCCCACGGCCGCGTCCCGGCCTCGGGGGTCGCCTCCCCGGGAACCAGGCGGTTCTGTCCGCTGGGATCTGTGGGCGCCTGCCCCGCTCCTGACCGACAAGGCCACAGCCACGCGGGGAAAACGTTCCCCAGGAGCCGGGCCCGATCCCCGCGCAGCCCCAACCCCAGCGCCCATCCGGGCTGGGCGCGGCCTCCTCTCGGCGTCCCCCGTGATCCCGCGACCTCGGGCGCGGGCGGGGACGGGTCCTGGATGCCCCGGGGGCCCGAAGAACGCCCCGAAGCGCTGGGGTAAGGGCGCCGCTCCGTGGACCCCGCGACCCGGACTTTCCCCGCAGCCTCGCCGCGACCTCAGCGTCAGGGGCGCGCAGGCGCACTGCGCCTCTGGACCGTTGGGACCCAGCGGACGTGGCCACGCCCTCCGGCCGGGGTCCGGGAGCCGGGAGGGGGAGGGGCAGGCGGGAGGGAGTGGGGGAGGGGGAGAGGAGGGAATCTGGGGGAGCCAGGTGAGGGCTCGGGGGTGGAGGAGGACCCGGGGGACCAGGGAGAGGGCAGGGCCAGGGGCCTGGTGGAGGCTCAGGGTGGGGGGTTCCCGGGTGAGGAAGCAGCTGGGGACGGATGGGTGGGTGGGGCCAAGGTGGGGGGAACCAGGTGACGGGGTAGCCTGAGGTGAGGACGTCATTCAGAAGAGCAGTGAGGGGCGAGGGGCTCGCCGGGGACCTCACTGGCAGGAGGGGCCTGGTGGACCTGCCCGCGGGGATGGGATTCCGGGCTTGGTAGGAATTGGGGGCGGGTCTGGTCCTGAGGAGGTTTTAGGGGCGGACCTGGTACTGGGGAGGGTTAGGGGAGGGCCTGGGGAAGGTTTGGGGGGGTGGGTCTGGTCCTGGGGAGAGTTTAGGACCGGCCTGGTTTTGGGGAGGGTTTGGGGGCGGGTCTGGTCCTGGGGAGAGTTTAGGACAGGCCTGGTTTTGGGGAGGGTTTGGGGGCGGGTCTGGTTGGTGGGCGCGGTTGGAGGTGGGCCTGGTTCTGGCTGCGGACCTGGTTCTGGGGAGGGCTTGGGGGCGGGTCTGGTTGGGGGGCGTTTGGAGGAGGGCCTGGTTTCTGGGGAGGGCTTGGGGGCGGGTCTGGTTTGGGGAAGGAGAGTTTGGGGGCGGCCCTGGTCCTGGGGAGATTTTGGGGCGGGACTTGTTCTGGGGAGGGTTTACCAATCTGGGGGACCACCACGCTGTGGTCCGCGTGGACCCCCTCCCCGCGTTACTGGCGGGTCTGGTCCTAGGGAGGGTTTGGGGGCGGGACTGGTCCTGGGGAGGGTTTGGGGGCGGGTCTGGTCTTGGGGAGGGTTTGGGGGCGGGACTGGTTCTGGGGAGGGTTTGGGGGCGGGACTGGTTCTGGGGAGGGTTTGGGGCGGGACTTGTTCTGGGGAGGGTTTGGGGCGGGACTTGTTCTGGGGAGGGTTTGGGGGCGGGTCTGGTCCTAGGGAGGGTTTGGGGCGGGACTTGTTCTGGGGAGGGTTTGGGGCGGGACTTGTTCTGGGGAGGGTTTGGGGGCGGGTCTGGTCCTAGGGAGGGTTTGGGGCGGGACTTGTTCTGGGGAGGGTTTGGGGCGGGACTTGTTCTGGGGAGGGTTTGGGGGCGGGTCTGGTCCTGGGGAGGGTTTGGGGGCGGGTCTGGTCCTGGGGAGGGTTTGGGGGCGGGACTGGTTCTGGGGAGGGTTTGGGGGCGGGTCTGGTTTGGGGAAGGAGGGTTTGGGGACGAGCCGGGCTGGGGAGGGTTTGGGGCGGGACTTGTTCTGGGGAGGGTTTGGGGCGGGACTTGTTCTGGGGAGGGTTTGGGGGCGGGTCTGGTCCTAGGGAGGGTTTGGGGCGGGACTTGTTCTGGGGAGGGCTCCGGGGAGGGTCTGGTTCTGGGGAAGGTTTGGGGACGAGCCGGGCTGGGGCGGGTTTGGGGCGGGCCTGGTTCTGGGGGCGCCCCGCCCGCGGCCGGCCCCGCCCGGCCCACAGGGCCCGCGTCCCGCCGGAGCGGCAGGCAGAGCGTCCGGCTGCCGGGAGGGACGGGGACCTACAGCCCGACGCACGGACGCAGGGACGCAGGGACGCCGGAGCCCACCGGAGCATGTGGAAGCTGGGCCGGGGCCGGGTGCTGCTGGACGAGCCCCCCGAGGATGAGGACTGCCTGCGGGGGACACCGCCACAGGCCGCAGCCGCCGCCGCCCAGGCGCAGGTGAGAGGGGGCGCGCAGGTGAGGCCGGGGGAGCGCAGGTGGAGGTGCGGGTAGGTGGCGGCACAGTTTGGGCGCGCAGGCGTGGTTGGGGCTGCGTAGCTCGGGGGTGCGACCCGCTAGGTGCCCGAGTGCGCAGTGGGACAACTTGACCCGAAGCTGGTCCGGGGACTGAGTTGCCGCTGTGGTCCGCGTGGACCCCCTCCCCGCGTTACTGGCCAGGGAAGCCAGAGTCCTCGCCGCTGGCTGGGGGCCCCAGTGCCCCCCACGCGTGTTACTTGGGGGCGCAGTCCCAGGAGAGCGGGCACGCGGGGCGCGCACCCCACAGCGTGGGCGTCTTGGGCCCGGAGGCGGAGATCCACGCCGGGTGCTCCCGTCCCTGGCGGAGCTGGCCGAGAAGGCCTGAATCATTGCGCGCCCGGACGGCCTCCTCGTGGACACTAAGCGACTTTGAACGACCGCAGCTCAATGTTAAGTGGGCTAAGTATTTGTTTGCATAACAAGTGTTTTCGTTAATCCTTGATTTTTCTGAAGGAATCTGGCAGAAGTCCCTTATCCTGAAAACTGAAAGGCCTTTGCCTGACGAGTGTGGAGATATGTTTGGTATGTCTAGAATTTTTTAATTAAAAGGGCTCCCAGGTTGGGCCCTGTGTGCCTTACATGTGGACACCCCCTCCCCCCGCTCCCGTTTTCCCAGTGCGGTGCCCCTTTTCATGTACATGAAATTCAGATCAGAAATCAAGCTTTTCTTTCTTTCTTTTTTAAATGAGGGTCCTAAACGTTTGGCATCTTCATCCTGTTGCCATTAAGGTCGAATGGAAGCTGAGGCTTTGTATCTTTTTTCCGGGGACTTGGAAATAGTTTCCAAGCAGAAGAGTTTTTCTTAGGGACTGGAGTTGTTTCCTCTTGGTAGACATTTCCTATAGAAGTTAAATTCCGAGGCCGGGCGCGGTGGCTCAAGCCTGTAATCCCAGCACTGTGGGAGGCCGACGCGGGTGGATCACGAGGTCAAGAGATCGAGACCATCCTGGTCAACATGGTGAAACCCCGTCTCTACTAAAAATACAAAAAATTAGCTGGGCATGGGGGCGCGTGCCTGTAATCCCAGCTACTCGGGAGGCTGAGGCAGGAGAATTGCCTGAACCCAGGAGGCGGAGGTTGCGGTGAGCCGAGATCGCGCCATCCATTGCACTCCAGCCTGGGTAAAAAAAAAAAAAAAAAGTTAAATTCCGTCCCAACTCTTGGAAAATGGAGTTGATTATGTTAAACGTTTAAATATGGTTACTATCTGAACTTGTCTTTGAGAAATAGTGCATACCGACCCTTTTTTTTTTTTTTTAATTTCAAAATGTTACGGTTACTCTAAACAGCTGGCTCTTGAATGTAATGGTGAGAATTTATATGTGGCCATAGAGTGAACTGCAGAAGCTGTAAGTAATGTTGTTATTACTGATTGTTTGTGGGTAGAGTCCTGAGAATTTTTTAAGCCTTCCTGTGTTCTTCTCCCATTTCTCTTAATGAATCCTGAAACCCACTTTTTTCTCTTAAGTTTTTATTTTTAAATACAGGGTCTTGCCTACTAGGCTGGCTACAGCCTGTGCTCAAGCGATTCTCCTCCCTCAGACTGTGGAATAGCTGGGACTACAGGTGTGCACCACCTCACCTGCCTAATAAAAAAAACAATAAACGTTTTTGTGGAGATGGGGTTTTGTTATGTTATCCAGGCAGATCTTGAACTCCTGGCTCAAGTGATCTGCCCGCCTCAGCCTCCCAAAGTACTGGGATCACAGGTGTGAGCTACCAGGCCTGGCCATAAGTTCTTATTTTGAAAATTTCTCATATATAGAAAAGTAGAAGAAGAACAGGAGATTGAACACCCTCATGTACTGCACCTAGATTCAATCACTGGCAGTGCCTACTTAAAGCTCCTTTTCCGATTTTCTGTTTATAGAATTGTCATCTATACTTCTAAAGTGTGTTTGTGGGGGGGCGGGTGTGGGAACTTTAATAGACTATTTTTCAGGCCAGGTGTGGTAGCTCACACCTGTGATCCCAGTACTTTGGGAGGCTGAGGCGGGCAGATCACTTGAGCCCAGAAGTTCGAGATCTGCCTGGACAGCATAACAAGACCTCATCTCCATAAGAACTTTTTTTTTTAAATTAGCAAATTTGAGGATAAAGTACAGAGAGTTCTTATGGATCCCGGCTCCCCACTATCAACACCCCCCACAGAGCGGTGCGTTTGCTACAATCTGTGGACCTACACGGGGCTCATGGTCCTCACGTGGGAGGGCTCACTCAGTGTTGTGCACCCTTTGGTATGTGTACTGACTGTGTCCACCATCAGAGGAGTTTTGCTGCCCTAGAGGCCTTCTGTGTCTCCTCCCTCCCCGGAACCCCTGGCAACCACTGATCTTTGTAGTGTCCCCAGAGTTTGTTTTCCGGAATGTCATTTGGTTGCATTCTGTCAGTGTGTAGCCTTTTCAAGTTCGCTTCTCTCATTTAGAAAGATGCATTTAAGGTTCCTTCATGTCTTTTCATGGCTTGTAGCTCATTTCTTTCTAGCGCTGAATGGTATACTCCACTGTCTGGATGTGCCGCAGTTTATCTCTTCACCCTCTGGGGACATGTTGGTCCCAACCAATATCAGTTTATTCATGTACCTGCTGTAAGCATCAGGTGCTGGTTTTTGTGTGAATGTAAGTTTTCAGCTTACTTGGGTAAATACCTAGGCGTGTGATTGCTGGATTGCATGATGAGAGTGATTATAAGAAACTGCCAAACTGTCTTCCAAAGTGGCTACACCAGTTTGTGCTCCCACGGGCCATGAATTCCTGTTGCTGTACATCCTTGTCAGCATTTGGTGCTGTCGGTATCTAGATTTTGTCCATCCTAGTAGGTGTGTGGTGGTGTCTCCTTGTCTTGAATTGCGTTTTCTTGATGACAAATATATTGAGCATCTTTTCAGATGCATACTCGTCATCTGTGTCTCTTTTTTGGTGAGATGTCTGTTCAGATTTTTTGCCCCATTTTTAAATTAGGTGGCTCGATTTCTCATTGTTGAGTTTTAAGAGTTCTTTGTATGTTTTGGCTACTAGTCCTTTATATGTATGTGTTTTACAGAGATTTTCTCCGGGTCTGTGGCTTGACTTCACTTTCTCTTGACAGTGTCTTTTTCAGAGCAGAAGTTTTTAATTTTCATGAAGCTTCACTTACGAATTATTTCTTTCATGGATGTGCCTTTGGTGTTATATTTAAAAAATCATCACTGTACCCAAGATTTTCTCAGTTATCTGCTAGTTGTGAATTTTGACTGTGGTTTTTATGTTACATTATTAAGTGTATCTAAAGTCTGTGTTGAAAAAACATTGCTATGTAAAAATAGAGAAAATGTGTGTTAATTGTGACAGGTTAGTCATTCTAAATTTAGTTAATTTCAAGAGGACTGATCTTTATGGAAAAGCTAACTTGTCTTAGAATTAAATTTTAATATTCATGAGAAGTCTATCATAAAACTTGTGCCTATAAAATTTTGAAGTTGAGAGAAGTAGGAATTAATATGCAAATAGGATTTAATGAATCTGTTAAATTCACTGTCATATTAGAAATTCTCAATTCTGTTTCATTCTTAGTCTTTTGTCCTACCCTCCAAATTTTTCAGTCAGTGTGATATTGAACGTGCAGGTTGAGAGCACATTCTGCCTGATTCTAGAAGGGCATTCTGTTTGCAATCATACCTGCCCTGTTTGTTGTCTTTCTTGAAAATCAGGTTACGCAGCTATTTTTTTTTTTAAGTGAAAAAGTAGATAATGTTAGGTTCTAATAGATTTGAAATGTGAAGCATTCAAAATTACTTGGACTTAAAGGACACAACTATTACTAAAGTAATTTTAACGTTTTAGAAACTAAATTTCTGAGCATCAGTTTAGGCTATTGGCCTTTTTTTGGTCATAAGTACACTTTTGTATTAAAATATAACCATGATGTTTGTAAGGAGAATCATTCACTGCAGTCCTTCAACAAGGAGACACAAGTTTTAATGAATCTAATGTTACTTTAAAAAAAAAACTGCTAATGAATATGGTAAAATATTTCTTGAGATTAAGTGTTAGGTCTTAAATTCTTCCCACTTTCTAATGGGAAACATTGTTAAGCTCTTTTGTGTATCTGTCTATGAGCATTTATGCAGATACGTAGTGTGTGTTCAGAAACAAAGATTTGCTGTCTCACTATTCACATTTTCCTGTACCTTGAGTCGTTTCCTTCATAATATGTGTCCCATGGAGTGCTTCCTGTTCCAGCACTGCCAGCTGGAAAAAATCCATTTTAAGGCTGTGTGACATTAAATGATATTAAATTGCTGTGACAAAATTTATTTCATTGGGCCTCTCATGGTGTATATAAAGGTTGCTGAGCCATTTGTTAACCTGTGCCCCTCAAAGTTTTATGCAAATAATAGATAAAGAAGTGCAGAGACCTGTTGAACACGGACAGATGGTTTAGGTGGGTCTAACACGAACAGTGTAGACGACTTCATCTGTTGCCTCTAAACTGGATTGTGTAGAGATTTGGCTAGCCTTAACTATGGCTTTCTAAACAAAACTCAGAGAATCTTTGACATATGTTCAGTTAAAAAATTAAAAGCCTTAGACATATTCTGTAGACATTGCAAAGAAAAAAAGGAAGAAAGAAATCAAGGACTATTTCAGGTGTTTTAAAATCATGCTTGGAGATGGGAAGACCCAAGGAAGAGGGAACCTTAGTTTAGATGATACAAAGTCACTCTTGTATCCCACTGAGAGGCTCTGTGACGTTTCTGGGAAGAAAGGAGTGGAATAAACGCAATAGATGGTATTGATTAGCACTCTCAATTCCAGAAAAGGCCTGATGTTCTCCTGGAGGGCAAGTATGTGGTGAGGCAGAGGCCTTTCTCTCCTTGTCTGTATAGCTAATATTTTGTTAACTGTTTTCCAGTATTTCTCTTTAAAAATGAAAGCAAATAT